CCAGCTTAATCAGCTTAACAAATTAAACAACATACAACTTTTCAACTCATCATCTCAATCAACATTTAACTTGAACAACATAGTTTATCAACACAACAACTCATCTACATTGTTTAACAACACAACAACTCATCTACATTGTTTAACAACACAATCTAAACAACTCAACAACTCATTTCAACTTTAAACAACACAATATTAGCTCAACTCATAATTTACAACTCAATCATCATAAGGTAATCTCTTTTAAACACATGGCACAACATACAACTTTATAGCAACATACAACTCTCTTCTAACAACTTAACAACACAGTCTACTAATAACATCTATATAATTCTCAACACATTTACACACTTCAAGTCTTGCTTCTCACAACTCACAATATTATCATCATGTACTTCTCAACTTTCAACTATATCATCTCGTCTTATTTCACAATATAAACATGTCCACACATAACTTATAACAACTTTATCAACTTAATTTTAACATGCTTCAACAATATCATAGAGCCTATCCCTGCCCTGCTCCCATACAACGTATGATCATCGCAGTCCAAACCACATGGAAACATGCAAGGGTAAGCTAGAGACAATAAACAACTCATAAATATCAAATATGAAACACAACTATTTTATACTTACCACTATTGCATTCTTTCTGTAACCTTTTTATACTTACCACTATTGCATTCTTTTTATAACATTTTTATCACACATCCACATTTTTACTGTGTCACCAAATAAGAAGGGGCTTGGTTCATAGGGTTGTAATGATTGGTAATCTGCATATTTTACAACAAAACATTCAATTAATCACAAGACACAAATGTACAAAAAAAAAAAAAAAATTTGCCTCCTATATTGTCAAATATATGTACATATCTATCTAACATGAATTGTCCCATTATAAAGCCACTAAAACATGTATTCTATATATTGTCCCTTGCTACATAATACAAACAAAATCTTCTTACTGTGCCACCGAACAAGGAGGGACTTGGTTCATGGAAACTGTAGTAACCTGTAACCTGCAAATTTCCAAAACAACATTCAATTAATCACAAGCCACACATCCACCCAAAACAAGATTTAAATAACTTTGTCTCCCATGCAAGCATGTGTACATATCTACTAGCTTAAGTCACATCCAATTATAATATTGTTATCAATTTTTTTTAAAATTACATATTTATCTTATTATTTTAATAATTATAATCTAATACTATTAATTGATATGACAAATACAATATTAATACAGTAACATATTAATTATTAATATGAATTAATATACTAATATAATATAATATCACATATCGTTAATCAATATGAAGAACAATATGTTATATAAATAATTTAACTAAAAATATCATACTATAATTAATTAATGAAGTGATAAAATGTGTGAAAAAATGAAAGTTAAATAATAATATATATAATTTTCAAACTTTAATTCAAAATTTACAAAAAATAAAATAAAAGATGTGTTACAAAAGTAAAATTAGGCCCATAAGAAAGGTTTTCTCTCTTTCAGTGTACTGACATTTATTAAAAAGTTAATTTTTTTTATGTACCGAGATTTATTGAACAGTTAATATATTTTAACACAATGGTTTCGGTACACAAAATATAAAATTTTGCATATTTAAGTAACAAAATTATCTATCTATCTATATTACAATTGCTTTTTCCCATACTACTACTTCACCTCTTGGTTACCCTTTCTCACTGGTCACTCTTAAAATTGCAAAAGAAGCATGACTTTTGGATTGGGAAGGTAAGCCAAATGGGTCATTGTTTGGAGCGTTTTAATATTAATTTAACCGATCTTAAAAGTTTTCATATTATTTACAAAATTGCAACCGCGTCACTTTTAGAATCGGTTACTTTATAACTGATCTTAAAATTCTGATTTTAAATCCAATTTTTGCACTAGTGTATTTATTTATTTTTTTTAGAAAGCACTTTTTTAGAAAAATGCTATAACATATTTTTTCATAAATAAAATAATACAAAGATAGCATTTTTTTGTTAAGCGCTCTCTATATAAAACTTTATTATGACCCTTATTTAATTAAGTGCTCTTTTAACGTTTTATGTTTTAAAACACAACACTTATTAATTAAGCATTATCTAAATAACACTATCTATTGTCACTTTTGGTGTAGTGATAAAAAATTAGTTAAAAAATTATAACACATAACAATAATAATAATAATCTATATCTATTATAAAGAGAATACTAGAATATTTAATTGTTTTTATCTGTACTTTATAATGAATCACGAATGTAAAAAAAAAAATCATATATCCTTTTCAAATAACTACATAATTACATATAACTTTTTAATATTTTGTCTATGTATAAAGTATAATCATTCTAGATACAAAATGTCTCAACTATCTAGTAATAATAATATAATAGTAAAGATGTTACCGGTACTTTATTACAATTCTTTTTATCATTAAGTTATATATTTTATTTCTGTTCTTACTGGAAATCTGCTGTAAAGTTGATTCGCCAGGTAAGATCGGTGAGTCTCCTTCACTGGTACGCTAGTGCTCCACGATGGGGGTGGTACTTGCAAAAGAGACTCTGATGCTAAAGTTAATGTTTGTGTGAGTATTAGTCTCGTATAAGTAATGCACGTACCTTAGTGTGATTTAGGGTTGCCTTGGGCCTTGGGCCTGAGATAAGATGTAATGTGATTAGATAACGGATCCCGTCTGGGGCGAGATCCTCAGGAATTAGTTATGATCCTCTTAAATGCCGAGCAGACGTCGCGTGGTGCGTGCCCGAGGTCATCTTGCGCTGTGATGCCGAGCTCAGAGCTCGGTTACGCAGTACGGATAGTACAATTTCATATGTCTTTTCTCTTCACATTTCAATGATTTTTTTTACATATTAATTATTCAATATAAGTGTGAAAATATAATTTTAAAATAATGAAATATCAAGTGAAAAAATATTTATAATACTAATTTAATCTAATAAAAGGTGAAAAGTTTAACTTCTATTTTATTTGTTCACTAATTTTAAATATTCACAATGCTTCTAGTCAACTACTTAACACAAGTATAAAATTATAAAATGACAAAAAATAAATTAAAAATTAGTTATTATTATTTTAAAATTAATAATTTCAAAATTAGCATTGCTATATATTCTGAACGATAAGTTGAATCAGCATCCGAATAATTAAAATATTAATATTTTTAAATAAATTTATTATAAAATAATTATTTAATTTAATATTTTATTGTTTAAATAAGTTTTTTATTAATTCGGATTTCGGAATAACTTTTCGGAGGATGAAGAATTTTTCTTTTAAAATTCATTAAACTTGCGTAGTTGTAGAATTTCAGAATTTCTCTTAGACTTTGTTTGGATTTGAAGATGGAAAAAGGGGAGTGAAAAAGGAGAGATTTGAAGGGAAAGTGAGTAGAAAGTGAGGTTGTTTGAATTCCTCAGCATAATCGATTATGTTTCGTTCCTTTGCTATATGGCGCATGCATGGAAGGGGCATTTTCAGGTTTTCACAAATCTTACGTGTCTTTCAGCTCCTTTCTTCAGTTTTGTGCGAGGAGAGCAACGGTGCTTCTCCTCTCTTTTCTTCGCCTTTTCTTCGTTTTAAATCACGAGAAACAAACACATACTTTCCTCGTCTTTCATTATTAGGAAATAGTACTTCCCCGAAACAAACACTACCTTATAGAATTTGGCAAAGACATTGAAGGCGTTAGGCGGCGTAAAAAGCGAATAGCCTCAACTCTAGTCGAAGTCGGCATCACCTTTTTGCTCTTTTTCCCATTGTGGGTCCCACTTCTCTCTCTCACGTCATCCCCATCCTTAGCCACTACATCCCTTGGCCTGATTCACTCTTCTGCTGACTCATCTGCCACCTGTCACCACCCCAGCTTCCACCTTCAATAACAACATAATAATAACTATCATCTAATAAAATTCCATTTTAATTTTCCTTTTGCAATGTTGTGAATTCGCAACAAAGTAACTAACCCATGATATTATAATAATAACTAAACACGACTTTCCCATGTTACTGTCCATGAACCCAGATTAGACATTTAATCGCATTAAAATTAAATCAAAAAGGGGAAGCTGATAAGAAAGAATGGGATTTATATTCTATTGTGTACGGTCCAATGTTTTAATTTGGCCCGGTGACATTTTCCCAGAACATTAGAAAAAGGGAAAAAAGGACAACACTTTTTCCTATGAATAAAGGGCATTCATTTGTTTTATTAAAGATGCATGAAATTGCAAAGGACATGTAAGTAAAAAAAAAGGTTTAATTAATGTTTTGCTTATATATATACATATATATATATATATATATATATATATATATATATATCTTATCGTTTTGGTTTTATTCTTCAGAATTTTACGTGCATTTTATGAATTTTTTATATTCTAATCTTTATATTTCTATTAAAACTAGAAGGAAAAATTAATTTAGAAACAAAACCAAAAATTAATTAAAGAGATTAGAAATTAAATTTTATAATATGTTTATTTTAATATTTCTTCTGCCTTATAATAAATGTTCATTTTATAAGAAGAGATAAGTTCCAAAACAAATATATATTAGTTTTAATGTAGTAGTAATTATCTTTTTATTTATAATTTTAATAATAATTTTAAAAATAATTATCGCAATACATCATTTTTAAAATAAATTATATAATTTTATAAAATTATTACTTTCTTTCATTTATTTATTAATCTGCATAAAATAAACTATAACAATACTTGTAATGAGATAGAAGTAATATTTTTTATTATTAATTAAAATTTATTTATGTTTTTGATAGAAATAATCAAAATTATTATAAATTACGAAATTTATAACGAGATTTCGATCATCAACATTTGAAAAATGTGTTAAAAAATAATTTTATTTTATAAGAAAGCAATGTAAAAGAGCAAAAGGGAAAAAGAAGAAAGCTTAAACTGACGGTATTGTGTCTCTGATGCCTCATGTTCTTTGTGCTTTTTGCAGGGTGACTTTTTCCTGAGAGGGTTTTGTGGGTTTTTTAGTGCAAAGTTTCACCTTGAAAAGTTCCGTGGAAACAAAAGCTTCTTTTTACTATCTCATTCTCTCTCTCTCTCTATCTCATTTTCTTTCTCTATTCTATCTATATCTATGTACCTTGGAGCAGCTGAGAACCTTCACAGTATTCTTCTTCAACAACAACAAGAACCACAACAACAACAAAATTAGCATAAATGAGTAGTGAAGGGGACATGTCTAATAAGGATCCGGGTATTATGCTCTTTGGTATGAAGATTCCGTTGCCGGAATGTCAGATTCCGGTAAGTTCTCAAATGGGGTGTCAAAATCAAGCCAACTCTGCAACCATGGTACACACTTATAAGTCATACTAAAAAATCATTCCTTTAACTATGCTATAGCTAGTTACTAGAATTGTGTTCAAGCATCATAACAGTTTGCAATATAAAGAGTATTTGTTCTTAATGAGTTTTCTTTTTAACATGTTATGAATATGTATCTGGTGTACGTTCAGATTCATGGAAACAAAGGGTGATCTTAATTTTTCATTTTTTGTAAACGTGTCATTGAATATTTATCATTGTTTTTTTTCGTATGTATATGAATTTTGTGAATTGAGAATAAGGTTAGTGAAGTTGTTTTTCTGCAAGTACTTGAGTTTTTATGGGAGATATATCTATCATTAACATTTAGTTTTTATTGTGATGACATTGAGAGTGTAGTTTTGTTTCTGATAACAAATTGGTTCTGCTACATTTCTATGGTGCTTTTCACGATAAGGGGGCTATGCTGCTGAAAGAAATATAAAATTAAACTAGTTTTCTCATTATTGGAACATTTCAATGGCGATGGCTATCAACCCATCAATTGTTTTCCATCCTAAAACAAAAGCCGTTGATAACTGAGAGTAACACTTTCATTCTTTTGATTTGCTTCTTTCATTATTGTACTAGAATCTTCATTTATTTCTCTCTTATCAACACTTCAGCTGTTTGCATAAAAAGATCAGCGTTTCCCTTTGAGCTGATGCATTTCCACCCTTCCCTCTTAAGTCTTAGCAATTTCTTAAGACTTGAAAAAAAAAAACTTCACTATCAATCAAATCCAAAAGTGTCGAGGTGCACTTTCTGGTCATTTTTCAAAACAGTTATACAATTCTTGCCTTTTGCAAGTGTGTTATAGTTTATCAATTCAAGTATACATGCAGTTTACTGCTTGATCAATTGCAGATGCATTCATTTTTCTTGAATATTACACGAACTAAAAGTCTAGGACTTAAGAAATTGATTCATTCTTAAAGTAGATTGAAGTTCTAATTATTACCTGCTGTGTGGTATTTTTAAGTTTTTACTTTTTGGTGAAAAATGAGTATAACATGATAGTTGCGCTTGTAGATTTTGATTTTTGTCTATTGGCAAGTTTTATACGACATTGTTCTGCTTAACTTGTTACTAAGTTTGGTTTAAATTTTAGAATGCTTGCAGTGGCTTAAAGAAAACTGAAGTTGAAGTGCCTTGTGTTGAAAACTCTGAGCAACCAGAGAATTCTTCTGATTTAAGGGATAGCAATCAAGAGCCCGTACAAAATAATGTGCAGGAAAATGGGTCAAAAATTAATGCCAAGCCATTGGAGGATAATATGGAGAATAGTAGCACAGACCAAGATAAAATCTTCAAGAAACCAGACAAGATTCTTCACTGTCCACGGTGCAACAGCTTGGACACTAAATTCTGTTATTTCAATAACTACAATGTCAATCAACCTCGGCATTTCTGCAAGAACTGCCAAAGATATTGGACTGCCGGTGGAACAATGAGAAATGTTCCTGTGGGTGCTGGGAGACGAAAGAACAAGCACCTAGCTTCTCAATACCGACACATCATCGTAGCTTCCGATGGAATTCCAACTGCTAGGTTTGAAACCAAAGACTCTTCTAGTCACCAACTTGTCTCAACTCTTGAATCTGCTGCTATTTTCAGATCTTCAACAGATAACGGAACTGTGTTGAAATTTGGTCCAGATGCTCCTCTCTGTGAATCCATGGAGTCAATGCTTAATATTAAGGAACCAAAACGAAGTGTTGATGCAAACTCTATCACTTGTGCAGAGAATGGGGAGGAGGAAGTATCCTTATGTGGATCATCTGTGAGCAATTCTTGCACTCTAAGAAACGAATTGCCAGAACATAATGCATCAAAACCTTTGCGGTGTCTCCCTGTTCCTCCATGGATATTCCCTTGGAATCCAAGTTGGAACAATGTGGCTTCCACAGCCGCAGTTCACCCATCTTCGTTGCACATGTGTAGTCATTACAGTGCCGACCCCGCTTCAATGCAGTGGTGTCCCACGCCGATGGTGGCCGTCCAAACCATCTGTCCACCAAGCTTTCCCTTGCAATTTGTTCCTGGATCATACTGGGGTGGACCACCTGTGTGGGGTGCTGGAACAGGATCTGTATCAATAGGTTTCAACGCTTGCCTTTCGCCTACTTCCTCCACTAGTAACAGCTGCTGCTCAGGTAATGGCTCGCCGACACTTGGCAAACACACCAGAGATACTGTTTTCACAGATGAAGAGAAGTCAGACATGTGTGTTTTGGTTCCAAAGACCCTTAGAATTGATGATCCAAATGAGGCCTCAAAATGTCCTATATGGTCTACTTCATTAGGGATCAAGCCTGATAACCTGCAATATGTCTCAGAAGATGCTATTTCCAAAAGGGAAAAGCCTAAAGAAGGCAAAGACCGTGTGTTAGGTGTGTCTCAAATCTTGGAAGCTAATCCTGCAGCAATTTCTCGTGCTCATGCATTCCAAGAGAGCATATAATGAGTTTCAGCTTCCACTCTTCCATTGATAATCTGTGCATATTGCTTGGTTCACATGCAGAAAATCTGTTTTGCAGGTAGCATTGTTACTTTGTCTAGTCCATATTGTCCATTGTGTAACTTCATTTTGATGATGTACTTAAATCTATTTTTGAGTTATGCTCTCTGAAATTCATGATTCTTGGAGACGCAAGTGCAACAATAAAACAGTGATAACTGAATCACTCATCATTTAAGGTAGTGTAAATTGCAAGTTGAGTAATTGTTATTGTATGTAGCCCCTTATCCTGAACAAATTCATAGTTTTATTTTTCTGTTTTCTTGATATTTTTTCTGATGAATATATAAATACTTAAGATCTCTGATAATGATATAACAAATCAATTAAAATATCCCACGAGGCACTCAAATAATTTTATGGCAGCAGAGATAAAGTCTACGAAATAACACGTTGATTATCGTGTTACCCTCAGTTTGCGTGGCATGACATAATTCTCTTGAATGGACCAACAAAATAATCTTGGTTTTGGACGACACGGAAGAGTTAATTTCTGATTTTGACTCGGATTCCAATTTGGGAAAATTGCAACTTCTTGGAAAAAGTTGTTGGGCCAAAAAACAGAAAAAATAAGTTGTTGAAAATACTTTTGTATTTATAGGACAACATTGTCCAGAAGGGTAAAAATACAATGAAAAGGGTAATAATTATTGCATAAATTGACATCACAATTTCACTGTTTTGTACAAGTTATTAGATTTTATTTTTTATACTTTTAATATTAAAATTTATATAATGCATATTTGGAAACGCTTTAGAAAATAAAAAATTACGTCAATTCATCCTAAAACGTAGAAGTTATAACTATTAGTTTCTAAATAAACGTGAAAAATTGCATAAAAAACGTGCAATCAAACACACTAATAATCAACCAAGTGGTAATGTTTTACCATAAACAAGTGCCTTTTACATTGCAACAATTGTCTGTGCCAGATTTGAGCATTTAGAGTTTCTCTTTTACTTTGGTCTAGTCATTAACCTTTTCTTTTTCTTTCAATTGTCTGATCTGAACAAGTTCTTCTTGGTAACCTTTGAAGTGCAGTTCTTACGAGGCTAGACTGGCACTCTTTTCTATCTCGTGTGCGTTTGCTTTATCTCTTTTTTCCATCTTACTTTCATGCAATTAATCTTTTTGACTTGGCCAAAGTTAGTATATATGTTAAAGCGTTGCTTCGGGGCTTGCTTTTCACAATGGAAAGACCCCTTTACCAAACAAGTGGAGATATTTACTCGTGGAATATCAGCTTTTATGACTCATCTTATGTCAAAAGAGTGGTTCAAATAATGCATTGTTAAAAAAGCCATTCTTTTCACTCATTAAAAGAACCACAATAATTCTTTTTAAAACCATAATTGATTTTATATTAATATTATAAAGCGTTTTGCATTATCATTAATGAGGGGTCTAGTGTACGATGTTCTCATTCGGCTTAGATGTTTTGTTATATTGTCCTTAAGCTTTAGTTTGACGATGACCCACTTAGGAATAAATAAATGTTCTGTCTCTTGGTTTAGTTTAAATCACTAACACACCGAAAAAGAGATATGCAGCGTTATCCTCTTGAGCAAGAAACCTTCTAAATTATTGGGAGAATGCTAGCTAACTAATATTTCTAAAGAAATATTATATATATATATATATGTATATATATATTATGATATTTAATGTTATTAAAACACCTCTTCTGTAATTTTTAATAATGTTTTTGTTATTAAATTTTTAACCAACATAACTAAAATCAGGGATTAGTAAATTTATGTATGGTAAATGTGAAAGAGGAGTGAAAGGAATTAAATTTTTTTTTACCATATTCTGTTCTAGCTGAGAAATGAGAATGAGAGATTAACTTTGTGTGGAGCCCACACACAATTAAATGTTAGCTAAACAGCCACAAAAGTAACCGAGAGAGATAGAGTTACAATTACTAACTCATTAGTTCGCTAATTATTTCATGTAATTGAATTATTAGCGCAAACTATAATGGTTACATATATAATCAATATAGAAAATGCTTCGGTGATATTTTTTTAAATTTAAAATTTATTTTACGTTGGCGTTGACAAAGCTCCATCTCCACACCCTCATCTTTACTATTATTTTCACTACATAACTCTTCAAAACTTTTTGTATTGAACAACTCAGTAGCAAACTTAGGAGCATCTCTAAACGATTAAACACAAACTCACTCGAAATCTTTGGAAGTGTCGTGCCACACCATATAGATTTCCCATGGTTCGAGAATTTTGGAGCAATGATCAAGCAACTACATAACATAGCTAGTTGGACTTTTGGTCTCAAGCCTTGCATGAAAGGTAGTGGAGAAGGAAGGGTTAATGGATAGAGACTCTAGTTGCAGTGTAACGAAGTAACATGTCAATTTTAATACTCTCTATCCTTCATGTATTTCTTATTACATGCATATGTGAAAATTAAAAGAAGTGATGCAATTATTTTAAAGAATTCTCAAAAAGCTAGAGTCATTTACCAGACCTAATTAAAAGTCCAAGCTTTAATTATTAAAACAAAAACGAAAAATAAATGATTGATATTGTAAGGGTCATACATATGTTTTAAATCCAAATCCTCTTAAAGATAAAAGGAAGATATAAAAAATTCAAAATATGATAAAACTAAATCCTAAGTTTAAATATCACGTCCTATTGAAGTAAGATATTCATTACAACATTCAAGCATTAAGAAACCTCTCATCCAACATTAGCATCTAACTGATTCTTAATTATAAGTGGCATCTATACAATACACAAACAAAACAAATATAAAAAAGTGAAATACATGTCGTAATATGTTCCTAGTGTAAAATAAAAGTTGAACAAAACACACACACACACACACACACATATATATATATATATATATATATATATATATTATAATAATAATAATAATAATAATAATAATAATAACAAAGCATATACAATACATCTTTCAAGATAATGATTTATGCCATGTGATGTTCTCATCAGATTCTAATACATTTAAATCCAAATCCTCTTAAAGATAAAAGGAAGATATAAAAAATTCAAAATATGATAAAATTAAATCCTAAGTTTAAATATCATGTCCTATCGAAGTAAGATATTCATTACAACATCCAAGTATTAAGAAACCTCTCTTCCAACATTAGCATCTAACTGATTCTTAATTATAAGTGGCATCTATACAATACACAAACAAAACAAATATAAAGAAGTGAAATACATGTCGTAATATGTTCCTAGTGTGAAATAAAAGTTGAACAAAACACATACATATATATATATATAATAATAATAATAATAATAATAATAATAATAATAATAAAGCATATACAATACATCTTTCAAGATAATGATTTATGCCATGTGATGTTCTCATCAGATTCTAATACATTTATACATATGACATCAAGATTAAAATCTTATATCTTAATATATAGAACAACCTATGAGTACATGATGGTAGACAACACATCATACTATGGGTGTTCGATACTATTACTCTCCATCAACAAATTATTAGAGAGAAAAAGTCTTGCAAGGGTACTTCACGATCAATCTCGTGGAATCAACATGTCATGCATATGAAGATTTCAAACTAAACACACCCCAAGGTCAACATTCAAAGATCCTTAATGACCTCCCTAGCACATGATTCATATTACACTAAAAACAAAAGTGAATTAGCCACTGAAAATAGCGACCGATTTTTTTTCATCGCTAATAGCGACATAATTAGCGACCAAATCTGATTTGGTTGCATATTTTATTTACTGACCGAATTAGCTACCAAATTTTTAGTGGCCAATAATCGGTCGCTAAAATAATAATTGTTGGTTAAAATAGCGACGAAACGGTTTCGGTCGCTAAAAAAATAAAAAATATTATTATTTATAATAAATTTAGCAATCAAATTAAAATCGGTCACTAAAAAAATAAAAATATTATTATTTATAATAATTTTAGCGACCAAATTAAAATCGGTGGCCAAACAAATAAAAAAATATTATTATTTATAAGGGTTAGCCCACCCATTGCCCTCCA